TTTGATTCCTGTGTATTCCACTGGTAAGGCCTACTCATAAAGTCACTGTTTATGCTTTTTTAAAAATATAATTACAATAAGGAAATCATTGACCATGCACAATTCTATTATGTGATCTACAGTAGTTTCTTGACCAAGACCATATTTTCCAGCTGTTGTTACTTCTTTGCTGGGAGCTGGATGGTGTAATGGGCCACTGGTTGAGCTGCTAAGCTCAAGGTCAGCTGTTTGAATTCACCAGCCTCTCTGTGTGAGAAAGAGGATACTTTCTACTCCACAAAGAGTTACAACTTTGGAAACCCATAGGGACAGGTCTGCCCTGTCCTATTGGATCACCATGAGTGGGAATAGACCCGGTGACAGTGAGTTTGAGTGTTTTGAGTTTTTGTTCCTCCTTTGTTTCCAACACTCACAATCTAATAACCAGTAACTATCAATGCATTATGATTGCAGGCATTGTCAGTTTCACAATGCAGAATTGGTATACTTTCAATTTCATTAGCTCTGGTGTTAGTGTTTAACACATGAACTTGAATCAAAGTAGCATTAACAGGTTTTCCTTATGTGTAGATGGATATTATCCTATCACTAGCAGTACAATGGAGTCTTTGTAGTGTAGGAAATTATATGTTTGGTGGCAGGGGTGGGGGTGGGGAGGGCAGAGGAGAGGAAAGGAGGAAACTTTCTGCTCCTGTAAAAAGAAAGTTCCAGTCTCAGAAACCCCCAAGAGCAGTTCTACCAGGTTCTATAGGGTCAGTATGAGTAAGAATGGGCTTGTTGACAGTGAGTTTGTTTTTTTTAGTAGCAAAATATTTGAGGAAAGGTCCTGAAATGTTCTTTTTGGCAAATGGGATTCCATCACTCTTCAATTGTCATTCCTGACACAGTAGATAATATATTTGTCAGAATCAAAATGGCTAGTACCAGTCCATTTTGGCTTAATAATGCCTAGGGAATCAATCTCTTTCACTAAAATTTGAAAGGAACATTTTCTATAATTTATATTAATAATTTGTTCTTCCTGTTTACTTAATTTTTAGAAAATTATTCTTATTTACAAAATAAGAAAATATTAGTTGAAGACTCCTCCTTGTTCTATATCTTAATTTAGTATAATTTATTTTTATATTGCTGTAAATTTATTTAATATCTATAGAGAGAAGTGTTTTTCATTGTTTTTAATAGTAAAGCAACTTATCTTAGTGTTAATAATATGTGCTTAATATGTTTTACTAATATGTGCTTTAATTTTTATTACATATTAAATTCTTTATGGAAGAATAATTCATTTCTATTGTTCAGAGATGTTTATGTTTCATGCATCAGATGAAATCCAGAAACACAGGTCAAATAATTATTTCATTCATATTTTAACAATTTCAACTAAATAAAACATATAAATGAGAAATTTCTTTTTTCATGGACTACTCAAAAATGTTTTCATTTCTTCATCCAGTTTCTCAGCTTTATTTCTAAAGTCTAGATGTTTTCATGTACCAAACATTAAAAAATTTATTCAAAAATTCATTCGTATTCCTTTTTCTGTATTAAGAGGGGCAGCAACAGTTTCATGAAAAATGGAAACAGAATAACTCTATTGATCCAGAAACATGGAAATCAGGTTGTAAATTTGTTATTTATCCTTCAACTATCAGAAAAAATATTGCACTTGAAGAAGACCCCAAATAACAATAATATAGCACACGCTTTGTCAGAGATTAACGTGGGAGGTGTCATTTTTAAAAGTTAAAAGCCCTGCCACCCTCAAACGACTTGCTATATGCAGTCTATTTGTGATGCAGAGAAGCCAAGTGGAAAGTAAAAGTTATCCAGAATATTTTAAATCTCAACAGTCATACGCAAACCATAAATAACATCCAAGTTGGTTTTACATTCACTTTGTATTACTCCAGACCAGTGTCTAAATTAGTAAAATTATTTCATGTAACAGAATCCATTCCAACAAGTAAATTCATCTCAAATATAAAGAGTAATATTAAAATTTAAGTGTGTATATTATAATTTGCTAATTAATAAAATGTGAAGATATATTTTGATAATAGAATGATTATCTATTGCTTATGCTTCTCAAAATATTTGTAAAGCTTTACTTTTACCAAGAGCTTAAGTATTTTATATTAACCTATATCTCAAAATCTAAATTTATTCAATATTTCCACATTTTACGACTGAGATATGCATTAAAATTTGATGATCACTTTTGGCTACAAGCATTTATAAATTATATATGTGTATCTGTATGTGAAAGCATACCTAATTTTATCAAACTTTGCTTTCTTTTAGGAGTTCTGGTGATGTAGTGGTTAGATATTGGGCTGCTAATCAAAAGATCATTTCCAAACCACCAGCCGCTCAGAGAGAAAGAAGAGGCTTTCAACTCCTAGAAAGAGTTAAAGTTTGGGAAACCAACAGGGGCAGTTCTATTTTGTCCTAAAGAGTCCCAGTGAGGTGGAATCACCTTGAAAGCACTAAATCTGGTTTGATATTTGGTATTACTTTCTTGTACATCACGCACACTGAGGTTTTCACTAATTGAAGGTTTGTGGCAAGCTTGCGTAGAGCAGTAGCAGCATTAAAAAGGAAACTATGTACACTTTGAATCTACATCACGTTTTGGTATTCTCACAATATTTCAAATGTTGTCATATCAGTATAAGGTAAACACTGTTTTATATGCACTGGGAAGCCAAAGAAGTGTGAAATTCAATTTGCTGTGATATTTATTCAGTTTATTGTAGTAGTCTAGAACTGAACTTTAATAGCTTTGAGATATGTTTATATGCATATATAAGGGGACTTCAAAAATTCATGGAAAAATTCTATTATCTATAAATTGAATTTTTCAACATAATGTTTAAAGCATTGTATATATGTAGATCCAATATTTTTATTTTTAAAGAATTTTTTTAAATTAATGTATTTTATTTTTGTTACTATGGTAAGTATACACAACAGGACATATACCAACAGCATATATATACATATACATACAATTCAGTGACTTTAATTACCTTACATTGTACGACCATTCTCACAATTTTTTCCTTGTTTTTGTAATTTTCTATTGCTTTATCTGCACAATTTTATTAACATGTAATTCACATATCACACTATTCTTTTTGGGAGTCTACACAACAAACCATTCACCGATCAAGAATTTGTTGCTCCCTGAATGACCTATTTGACTTCACTAAGTGATGTTGGCAATTTGATTCTCTTTAGATTTTTTTTTAACATAGTGTGAGTTGTAAAGATTATCTCATGGAAAAAATTTCAGGAGTTCCTATAACCTTAGTCCTTCCCAAAAATCTGTATTGCATGAAAATTTGGATTTGTGTTTTACATTCCCCCACATTTTATTAGTACTATCTACAGAAGCTGTGGCCAAAGAGTTCATCCTTGGTAGGCAGGAATCATACAAATTCTTCTGGATTTATGTCAAAGGAGGCATTTGTTTACGGATATAAAAACTCGCTGCCATGGAGTTGATGGCAACTCATAGAGATTCCAGAAGACAAATCTGAAACTGCCCCTGTGAGCTTCCTAGAGTGTAACTTTTTGGGGGAACAGAGAGCACCCATCTTTGTCCCACATATGGATAAAATTAAGCACAATTTCTATTATTTTTAATTTCTGGCTCTCCCTCCTCTTCTGCTATATATAATAGAGACCAATTGTAACATGATGGCCCTTTGCAAGGTTTAGGATCCAAAAGAGTTGTCACTTATTGAATTGTAGAATTATATATGTGTATATGTTTATATATGTATATGCATATATACCTTTATGCATATATGTATATATAAATACATGAAAAGCACAATAATACACCCATTGATGCTTTTGTTAGGTGCCATGTAGATGGCTCTTGGTGCATAGTGCCTAGGAGGGGGGCTGCTAGCAGAAAGGTCAGTAGTTTGAAACCACCAGATGGAGATTTCTATTCCAGTAAAGAGTGACAGTCTTAGACATCCAGAGAGACAGTTTTGCCCTGTCCTAACGAGTCACTTTGAGTTGCCATCAACATGACGGCAATGAGTTTTTGTTTTTGTTGTTGTTTTCATTCCTGGAGTTCGTTTGGATCGATAGTGACCTGATGTAGAACAGAAACAAGCACTGCCTGTTCCTGCATCAACCTCACGATTGACGTTATGTTTGGGACCAGTGTTGTAGCCATTGTATCAATCCGTTTCCCTGAAGGTCTTCTCTTTTCTGCTGTCCCTCTACTTTACCAAGAGTAATATGCTTTTCCAGGAACTGGTCTCTCCTAATAACATATTTCAAATACTTGAGATAAAGCTTCCCTTCCTTGTTTCAAATGAACATTTTAATTGTACTTTATTGATGATTTATTAGATTGATCTTATTTTTGCTTTATTATTGCTCCCTCAAAGGCTATGCTATTGCAGGATATGGAAACACACTGACAATGAATATAAGACATTCTGAATTTCTCCCTGATATTACCAGAAGAGAGCTATTGGATTAAAATTAAAAAAAAATAATTCATTCACTACACAACAAAATAGTGAAAATATGACTTTGTATGCTGTTAGACATCTGTGGAATCAAAAAACAAAACAAAACGTAATTGCCACTGAGTCATTTAGGATGCACAGTAAGCCTGTAAGACAGAGTGGGATGGTTCTTGTGGATTTCCAAGGCTGTACATATTTACCATAGTAGAAACCCTCATCTTTCTCCCATGGAGTGGCTAATATATTTAGCATCTATACATAGTCCAAAGTGTAATCCACTATGCCACCAGGGCTCCTATAGATTCGGAATAGAAAAATACATGAATCTTCATTTGAAAATAATTATCATCATCAAAATTGTGTATTTAAAGTCATTGTTACATATGTAATTCAAGGAAATATACTAGACATTTTTCTAGCTATCAGTTTTCCAAGAGCCATCTTCATGTCTTTGTTTCTCAGGCTATAAATGAGAGGATTCAGAGTGGGTGGTAACACAGTATAAAATACAGATATCAACATTTTAAGTGAAGATGTAGATTTTAAATTTTTTGCTAAATAGGTAATAATTCCTGAAAAGAGGAACAAGGTTACCACTGTGAGGTGGGGTATGCAGGTGGAGAAAGCTTTCATTCTGCCTTTTACAGATGGGATTCTGAGAACAGTGGAGAAAATATGAACATAAGAAACAACCATTAAAATAAAGCATACAAAAGCAAAACAGCAACTAGCAATGATAAAGGCAGATTCTAAAATGTGTTCCCCAGAACAAGCAAGCGTAAGCAGTGATGGGACATCACAGAAGAACTGCTGCACTATATTTTGCCCACAGAAATTGACAGAGAATGTACCTGTTACATGAATGGATCCATAGACACACCCGCTGAACCATGAGGCAGTCACCATCCGCACACACGCACCGGAACTCATCATGGTTTCATAGTGCAAAGGCCGGCAGATGGCAGCGTAGCGGTCATAGGCCATGACAATGAGAAGAGCATATTCTGTGCCAGCAAAAAAAATCACCAGGAAAAGCTGAGAGGCACATCCCAGGAAAGAGATGGTATGACTGTTGGTTAGAGAGTCCATGATGGATTTGGGGACCGTGACAGAGATATAGCAGATATCAATTAAGGACAAATTCTTCAGGAAAAAATACATGGGGGTTTGGAGGTGTTGATCAATGGTGGTGAGGGTGACAATAAGGAAGTTCCCCATCAATGCTGCTAGGTAAATGATGAAAAATAGTGCAGCATGAAGTGTCTGTATTGTTGAGTCGTCTGGGAAACCCATGAGCAAGAATTCTGTCATGATGGTCATGTTGGTAAACTCCTCAGGCATGATGATTCTTCATTCAGTGAACAGGAAAGAAAACAAAATAAAGCACAATATTCTTATTCAGTGGTCCCTCCTCCAGTACATTTGTTCCCTTTTGCGTGGCTTTTCTCTCCAAATGTCTCTCTTCTCCTCTGTGATAAATGGTATTAAGGTCTTCAGTCTAATATAGACTAAACCCTTTCATGTATAACCATTCCCTTTTCATTATAGAGAGTAAAGTATACTAATATAATAATTCATAAGCTTTTCTGTGAGTAGGCGTGATGAAAAGAGTATACTGCATGTTGTGCGTTAGGTGTTTGGAAAGAAGAGTAGTAAAATTGGAGCATAGTCTGAATATATGAAAACTAAATTCCTTTATTGAAATTATCAGGACCGAATACGTTCTCCTTTTTTTTCTATATGTTCTCCAAGAAACTTCTTACATCTGTGATAAGTACTCATAACTCTCAACATAGAATATTTCCATATCCCACAATTTAGGATCAGTACTAGATTTTTAAGGATTGCATTAAATGTTGCCAGATATTTGGAAGATAAAAAAGTAAGTATTGTATAGCATGGTAAAACTTATCCTTAAATTTATATTTATTGATAGTTAATTTGGCAATATGCATGTGTGTGTTTTTGTGTGACTG